CTGTGCGCCGCGCGCCTCCCAAAACGACGTCGTTTTGGGGTAGTGTTGGGAGGCGCGGTAGGAAGTTGCTGAGATTATGTGTATTTGTTCACAACGTTATGTGTATTGGTTCATACAGTTATGTGTATTTTTTATACAATTATGTACATTCTTTTTATACAATTATGTACATCCGAATCAGAAAATTTGTGTGTATTATGTTAAGAGTTGATGTGTATTATGTTAAAAGTTTATGTTTATTATGTATTATGTTAGATTATGTGTATTATCTTTTAAAAAGAGTATGTATATTTTGTTATATAATTATGTACATTCATGTATAACATTATGTGTATTCTAGTATAACATTATGTACATTCTTGAACAGCGGGGTTTTTTTTAAGAAAAAACTACTGCCATTCACTGGGGTGGAAAATTTCAAAAAAAAAAAATAATTAAAACGACGTCGTTTTGCATCTGGGCGCATAGTGCAACGCGCGCCGTGGTGTAGGATATAAATTGCCATATATAGACCGTCCAGTTGAAACATATCCCGTAATTTACCTCTAAGCGGTAAGTATTCCTATATGCTTAATTTATAGCGTAACATATATATACGTATTCATTTAAGTTTAAAACAACTATTTTGACCGGTCTTTCAATAATTTATTTAGAATTTCAACTAAGTTTATATTTAGATTGAAAATTCATTTAAACTACGTAGTGATGTGTTAAGTAGTTGATATTATCCTAACTTTACTTTACAATATATATATATATATATATATATATATATATATATATATATATATATATATATAAATTTAAGAAGTTGTAACCATCTTGTTTCTTATGTAGATTTTTTTTTAAAAAAATATTATTCATAAATTCATATAATCATCTGGATTTTCATAAAATAATATAGTAATGATAATAATACAAGCATGCACCACGATATGCTTGCTAGCTTGCACACGTACTGATTGGCCATCTTGCAATTTTGAGTCATATATTTCTCAGAAATTAAGTATATTATTATACAGTTATATGCAAATTATTGTAGTTTAAACTTGTGCAACCATGCCACGATGCTGAAGGCAATTGGCCTCGTGGGTTCGTCAGTAACGCTTAAATATAATTTATTAATCAACCTTGTATTATTATAAAATAATAATAATAATAATAATAATAATAATAATAATAATAAAACTTCCCAACTCAAAAATCTTGGGCCGATCACGGTACAATTAATAAGCAATATAAACTAAAAAGGCAAGTTATAGTGTATTAATCGTTATGCTGTGAGCACGTGCCCACTTTACATGGTGCGCACGAATCTATATTCATAATTTTTATATAGTAGATTCATAATTTCTATACTGTAGATTCATAATTTCTAGACTATCGGTGAGCTAAAATTTATACTTTATATTCATAATTTCTAAAACCGTAGGATCCACAATTTAAATACAGTAGATTTATAATTTCTATACTGCACTGATTTGTGAAAACATGGTTCAACAATTAGAATCTAAAATATAAATTTTAGCTCACCGAGATTCTAGAAATTATGGATCTATAATATAAAAATTATAGATATAGATTCGTGCGCACCATGTGTATGGTGAGCACGTGCTCACATCATAATTTGCCATAGTGTGGGGCATTGCTCATTTTGTAAGGTGAATAAAGATATATATTCATTTTTATTTTTATTGAACAATAAATTCAATTTTAAGTAATACACTAAAAGATGAATTTACCTAGTACTCACTTTTGAGTAATAAACATATATGTCAGTAATCTATATTACAATATAGACCATGGTACACCATATACATAAGATTCAACTAAAGGTGAGCAAAATAAATAAATAATTGACGTGAATGGTAACATTTGCACAACCCACATGAATCAAGTGGTTCAGATTAATTAAGAATCAAGGAAACAATCTGGCGCCTTTAAGTATACTGCCAGAGAGATGACTCTCATAAAGTATTTAATTACTTAATTATTGTCAATAACTCTGGTTGGAGTAGAAAAAAAATATTCTTCTTCAACTCCCCTTAAAATAAAGTATTATGTTCAAGTGGTTCGCAAATAAGCTAGAACAGCCTCTTCATTAAAAATAAATAAATAACTTAAATATTCATCCACCCGAAAATGGATGAAATATGATGATTTCCAAAGAAAAATAATGTGGATGTTTAGTAAATAGTTGTTAGCTAATTGAATTAGTGGGTTTGACTAATTAATAGTATTAGCTGGTTGTAGAAAGATGTTTTGTAAATTAACTGTTAGCGAATAACTGATTACATGCAAAATGACTTTTTAAAAAAGTTGATCGAAAAACTGCTTTGACAACTTTTTGAATTTTTGAATTTTAGAACAATAAGCTGTTACAAAAAACTAATAAACAAACACTTATATTGATTGTTTAACCAAGTCAAACACCTAATAATAGTCAAATAAACTAAAATTGACTGATAAGCTAATTATGTTATCAAACAGGACCAATGTCCAACAACTACGGTGTAAACAATATAACTGAGTCAAAAATTTCTGTCCATTGTAAAAATGAACAAAAAGGTTGAATGAAAATTCACAAATTTCTAGTAGTGATTCATTTGGTCAATCCGGGTGTAATATGGCATGCAATCTGAAGGTATAATTTGTGGTGCAAAACTAATACAACAGAAAATACTAGCAACAACAATACTAGCAACAACATAAGTTAAACCTCAAATCAAAACATTATTGATGAACGAGATATATGCAGTCTAGTATTCGACCTCGACCCAATCTCAGTGCCAAATGAAACTTGGGAAACACGAAATCTTAGTGCAAACAACATTGAATTCCGAGAATTGAACACACTGCACAAGTGCACAGCATTCAAAGGTAAACCTAACCAGCAGGAAGCTAAGAAAAAAACAAAGGCTTTGCAAACGTGGGTGTCAGCCTGTCCCTATGATCATGGCCTATATACTATAAGATATTGTTCCATATTATATGCTACTACCCCTAAACTTGAGGTCACAGAAACAGTTGTGTTGACCCAACATTAAACAATTCAAGAAAAACCACTGCTCTATAGTTCCTTGCAACAAAGATGCCAACAAGGTAACGGCTGGTGGTCACAATCTGCTCCCTCATTCTACCCAATCACGAGGCACATTTGGTTGCCCATCTCCAAGTGGGTGTGGGATCTAACTTATTATTTTTTGTTCAGGCCGTGATGTGTCCTGAGCAAGTCCTAATTGTATGATATACCTTTAAGCCCGTACCATACTCGGATTAATCGTTATTTGCACCAGGTCAAGCCGAGGCAAAGTGCTGACCATATTGGTTTTTCCATAAGAGACAAAAAGAGGGTTCGAACTCCCGACTTTTCTTAAGAGATGAGAGTGCACGGCCACTCACACCAAGCTGGTTGATATAACTTATTATTATTCCCTTATTATTACCAAATGCCCCATCCACGATATACACATTCATCATCAGGCTGAGAATATATTGTGTAATTAACAATGAGTAACGTGATACAGTATGGATTTTGTTCTCTCCTATCCATTATTTAAGCTAGACTTAGTGCCCAAGTTTCTACTCATTCTAGAAGTGTTTCCCAGAAACAGGGAGATTAGGTGTTAAACCTAGCTTACTTAAAGGAGGTTTAGAAGATATTAAGACAGAAATAAGATCAGAGAGTATAAACTTTGTTGTTGATAAGGGGGAGGGGATGGGGATATGCATAGAGCCAAGCTACAAAACTATGTCAGTCAAAGAATCTGAGTGTATATTTGAAGAAAATCTGACCTGTAGATATGTTGCAGTGATCTTTGGAGTGACGGGGCTGGTTGGGAAGGAGATTGCCAGGCAGCTTCTGATGAGATCTGCATGGAAGGTGTACGGTGTTGCTCGGAGGCCTGGGAAGAACCCTATTCAACATCCAAATTTCCATTTCATTTCGTGTGATCTTCTCGACGCGGCGGAGAGCCGGCAGAAGCTGTGTTTGCTGGAAGATGTGAGTCATGTGTTCTGGGTGACCTGGGCGAGCGGTTTCCCCCTGGACAGCCCTGAATGTTACGAGCAGAACAGGGAGATGATGGCGAATGCGCTTGACGTCGTGATCCCCCGCTCGGCGGCGGCGCTGAAGCACGTTTCTCTCCAGACGGGGACGAAGCATTACATTTCGCTGACGGGGCCGCCACCGCCGGCGGCGGAGGAGGAGAGAGATCATCAAGGAATGCGGTTGTACGACGAGTGTTGCCCTAGGGTGGAGACCGGGCACAACTTTTACTATGTCCTGGAGGATTTGGTCAAGGAGAGATTGGCGGGGAAGGTGGCCTGGTCGATTCACCGTCCCGGTTTAATCATGGGGAGCTCCCACAGCACGCTGTACAACTTCATGGGGAGTCTCTGCGTGTACGGAAGCATCTGTAAACGCCTGAATCTCCCTTTTGTATTTGGGGGAGAAAAGCAATGCTGGGAGGAGATGGGGGTGGACGGATCGGACGCCCGGCTGGTGGCGGGGCAACACATCTGGGCAGCCAGTAACGACGCAATATATTCCACCACCGGCCAGGCGTTGAACGCAATCAACGGCTCAAGCTTCACGTGGAAGGAGATATGGCCGGCAATAGGACTGGAATTGGGAGTAACAGTGCCGGAAAACCCCTTCTCGCCGGATTTCACGTTTTCCAGGGCCATGGCGGAGCAAGGCCAAGTGTGGAAAGATATTGTGAGAGAGGAAGGGCTCGTGGAAACGGAGATGGAGGATTTGGCTAATTGGGGATTCCTGGATGCCCTGTTCAGATGCCCGGTGAAAATGCTGGGAACTCGAGAAAAAGCCGACCGCCTCGGTTTCACCACAAGATACAACACACTGGATTCAATAACATACTGGATCGCCGCCATGAGAGAAGAAAAACTAATCCCATGGTAGCCACCTCCATGGCTGTATCTTTGTTCTAGTGACTAAATTAGCAAAAACATCATTCATCTAATCATCTCCCAAATCATTAATCCAAAATCAGTATTAATATTAAATTAGCCATCACTGATCAGTATGGGTCAGCTTGCATACTACAAAAGTCTACAGCTAAGCAAAAGATGATCAAGGTGACCCACAGTACCAAAAGGAAAATATCCAGGAGGATAAGAAAACTATACAGATAACTGCACAAGTTAAATGTAGTTTGCATTTTGGGAGATCATTCATTCATTGGTGCTGAAGATCAACGCTTCTTCTTGATACTGTATTTAGTAGATTTTAAAGCAACTTTCTTGTTCTTAATGTTCTTACCATTGCTGGGGAACATGTCGCCATCAGATTCATCGTCACTGTCAGCACCAAATTTCTTCCGCTTTGCATCAGCAGCTTTTCCACAAACTACAATTTTCTCCTCCGCTCTTTGCTGTCCAGGCTCAGATTCCCCCGCAGGCCTCCAAATGAAAAGAGACCTGATACACAAATACACCCACAATTTCATATAGCATCAACTATCAAGCAAAAATTACAGGGATCAATATCCTAAATATAATGGTAGTTCGATTCCAACAGAAATTAGGTAGAACAACGTTAAAGCAACAAATTTAGATTGGATGGCATATGAAGTGTTAAAGATATTATTTTATTCAGACCTTGAACTACCCGATGCTAGAATATCGTCACGTGGATGCAACTTATTCACAGGACTGATAGTTGTTATGTTAGGATCCATCACTTCAGCAACTAACTGGCCTGTGGTGATATCTATAAAATCAATAGGATGCAAGGCAGTTCCATTATAGTTTTCACTTATGTAACGGCCAACGACAACAAGGGACTCTGAAGGATCCTGCATAGAGTACACTCTACTGTCAGACTAGTTGTTTAACTTGTCCATGTCCCTATGGACATGAATAAAATATAATATTTGTTAAATTGCAATGTGAATCGCTTACTTTTGGGTCCCACTCTGCTCGGAAAGCAGTAAGATGTCGATTGAAATCATGACTGTGAACAATTTCCCTGCTTGGAGTATCAAGGTTCCCAAATATTGAATCCCACACACGGATTCGATTATCCTGTGAAGTAGTAAGTATTTTGCTCCCACTTTGTGGGGAAAAATATGCGGAGTTAACAACACGCTTGTGTGGAAGGTTGCAAAGAGAAGATCCAGCTTTCAACTGACGCATATCCCAAATACGTGCCTATAATGCCAAGTCATTAGATCTTTTTTGCCATAAGTAGAGAGTCAATAACCAAAATTTAATAACAGAAACAAAGTGATAAGTAACCACTCTCCAACAAGGATTTTGCCGCTTTATCTTACTTTTTAAACATCAATAGCAGGGAATAGAAGATAAAAGAGTCAAATTAGCCAACAAACAATAGTAAATATCATACAGAATGAGTAAGAAATAATGGAACTTACAAAGTGATCATTTCCACAACTCAACAGTATATCTGGTTGAAAAGGATTGCAGTGCAGACCAACAACTTTACTACCCTTCTTGTGAATCAAAAGTGGTTCACCAATTACTTCATTGCTTCGCATGTCAATCCTGCAGAAATTAATGTAAATTAGCCCGTTCAATGTAGGTAAGTAATATCAGGATTACCAATAAGCTTTTGCATCAGAGTCAAACTCAAAGCATACATACATATAGAGGTATCCGAAATTATCTGCAATGAGAACAACACTTCTTTCTGGATTTACATCCAACCCATAAAGCATCCTCCAAGTGCTTGGTCCCTACAGGAAAACAAAACATAGTTTGTATTTGGATTTGCATGGGTTCATTTTACAGGATCAACTAATTAATGTAATACATGCATGCACTAGGTTATCCTTCACACTCCCCTATCCATAGCAATTGTCCCATGGAACCGGAAAAAAATAAAATAAAAATAAAATAAGATTACATGCAAATTAAACAGTTAAAATTCCATTGTGTTTAGCTGTCACTTACCTAGTTCTTGAGAAAAATCAGTAAGCATTTGTATCAAAGATTCAAAAAATATGGTAAAAGATAAAAGATGTTGATAATTAAACACAGTAAGAAACTTCACATGTAAAAGAAATCGCTAAAGCAAACAGAGGATGGTCATTTATGTCTTCAGAGAACAGATTCGATCCAATGTGTTATGATAGCTCTATACTAATCAAATGATATGAGCACTTAGTGCACTATTAGACTAATCTCCAAAGTTATGTAATGAGAAGAAAACAATATGAAGTATTAAAGATTCATGACTTGGTGTAAAGCATAACTGAGAGAATCAGACATCAACCAAAATATCATGCAGAACGCTAGCCCAGATATAGAAATAACTATTTAATAAACCTTCAAAAAGGTTTTTGCTTTAGAAAAATCACCTGCCACCCATTAGGATTAAGGTTCATCAATGACAATGAAATTCCAGTCTCTAGATCAGTGCAACTAACTGTTCCATCTGAAGATGCACCATATATTGATCCATCATTTGTCGGACTGAACCTATAGAGCATCCATTTATTTCATTCAGGAAAGTTGAAAGAGAAACATACCCAACACATGTATATGATTATGAGGAACCAAACAAGTAGGTGCTCACTTCATATTATTAAGTATGCAACCATGTATATTTCCATAAACTGTCTTCTCATGTACTTTCACAAAATCCCATACTCCAAGTTGTCCTTTCTTTAACACAAAACAAGATGAATACCGTCAGCAAACACATATTCCGTTGCAGACAGCAACTACTTGGCATATGAATAGAAGAAAATGCAAACATGTACCTTATCACCAGATAAAAGAATATTGCTGTTAGTAGGGTGGAACTCCAAGCATGTAACTCGTCTACTGTGATATCTAACAACAGCACAATGCACTTGATCTGGGATCACAAATGCTGGCTTGATCTGTAACATACGTGAAAATATAAATTTCACACTCATCAAATAATAACAGGATGTTGTCTAGAATAAACAAAAAGAGTGTCTAAGACTAGTTGGTGATAATGATCCTCTGAAAATTTCAGTCACATGACATACAACTATTAAGTATGATATATAGGTAACATGTCTATTTATGTGTTCGCACTATATTTCCAACCTAACAACTATCGTTTTTCAAGCAAAGTAAGAGAAAGCTTACAGGATGAATGCGGGGTTGAAGCTGGCGCTGGAAAAAATATTCCAAAGGATTTTGCGTGTTTTTACGTGGTGCTGGCACGACACCGAATTCCGTTGCCACTCGATGTGGACAAAACATTGTTGTATGCCCTTCAACCAGAATTTCAAAAGAGAATATTTTCTCCGAATCAAATGACTTTGATGAACTGAACTACAGCAATCAAAGAACAATTGGACTAACTATATCAAAATGAAAGACGCCACTACAGTTAACATATCACAAGGAACCAAGTAGCTTCATTAATTCACAGGCATCAGTGCATCAGTCAAAGATGTAAATTTCTTTCCTTTGTTCTTGAAGGTCAAGTGCCAAAGATAAACTGCAGTCATGCATTCCCATTCAATTCCTTTTTTTTTTTTTAATCTTCTTCATTAAAGATATATATGATATGAGCTAAAATGACAAATACTGTTATAATACAAATTTGGTGGGGCATTACACACTTAATCTGCAAAAACTTTGGATTCCTGCTAAAATCCAAAAACGGAATTCGCAACTATCCATAACTAAATGAAAACATATAAGCAAAAAATAATTAGAAATACCAGGCATTTTGCAGAGAAAACATGGCTTCATTGGGCAGTCAATGTAGGTTGCTCCCTTGAACCCTGCTTCATGGCCAGTTCTCTTACACACCTGTAAAAAAATTCATAATAAATAAAGCCAAACCAGTACATTTCCACGCTAAGCAACAAGCATCTAAACTAAAGTGCCGGAAAACGATCAAATTTTGGGAAATAAAAGCCTAACCTTACAGACTTTCTTAAGACTAATAGTGATCGGCTGTTTCCCTTTCTTCTTCAACGACGAGACGTCTTCTCCTTTCTCTTCAACGCCTTCTACTTTAACTTCCTCCACTTCTTCTTCTTCTTCTGATTCTGATTCCGCTACCAAGGCGTCTTCGACATCTTCTTCTTCCGACGAGCTTTCCTCGGAGTCCGTGTCGCGCTCGATCACCACTTTGGGGAAGGAAGTTCTTCTGGTCTGCGGGGGCATTCTGGAAGGGCGAGAGAAAGTATAGAGTCGCAGAGTGTGAAAATGAATAGAAGCAAGTGAAGCGACAGTTGAAGAAATGGAGGGCTTTGATGGTATACGGAGTCGAATTTAATTAATTTGGGGGCGGAAAATGGTGAAGGGAGTTGTTGAGGACCGACTTGACGGAAGAGGGCCTATCGGAATGCAATGACAATGGTGTCCTTGGCTCTACAACTATTATGGAAAATGGAATAGGGGTGTTTTGGACATTGATGTGCACTGTAATGGCGGGAGATTACGTGGCTCAAAGGTAGCCGTACAGAGATCTTTGTCGTCCGTGCCTCTCACGTGCCTACCAGGAATTGTTACCTTCTTAGTTTAATAGTTTTAAGTGGAAGTTACTTAGCATATAACCATTAATGTGCAATCTAACTATCAGTTTAATTATTTAGTTTAGACAGAACACATCTTTTAATTTAGTATAAATCCTTAAACATGACCTATAATTACATATTATCTAAGGTTTCGGTGACCTTCCACCATTTTCTAGCAACAATCACCCGTGACCAAATTGGTAGCCTTCTCTAGCTATTGGAAAAGGCCATCATAATTTCCTCAAATACGTATAGTCCATCAAAATTCTAAGAACTTTACAATTGTAATTTCCTCAAATACGACATTTAATTCCCGAGATAATTTTCATAATACTAAAATCTCAAATGTTTGACTTCTAAGATTCAAATGATTATACATAGGAATGATCACAATTTGATTCGAACAGTATCTAAAATAATTTATACATATAGAGATATATAGCAGGATACAAATATAGAGACAATTGAAATGGTTCTGAGCGACTATTTACATGCATTGAGGAGAGTTGATGACTTCCAACACCACGTGTGCCCACATTGCAGAAGGTATGTACGTACAATAACTGGATAAACTAGAATGATGTTAAGCACTGGCAGTTCCCAGTCCCACTGATGTTCGACTAGTCAGAGCTGGTCTCATTGTGACAATTGCTGATTCATTTGCTCCGGCTATTAAGGCAGCCCTTCCAGCCTCCAAGAACCTCTCGACTGCATCCTCTACGTATCGGTTGGCTTCCCCAACGTTCATGTCCTTCCCGATGTCAGGATAAGTATTTAGAACGTGATCGCCACAAAGCTGAGATGCAAGCTGGATCAGCTCGAGTTGGAATTCAGAGAGTTTGGCGTCTTCTTGAGGTCCCCGTGGCCTCAATGATTTTGTCACCTCCGGGAGTGTTTCTGTAAGGGGGTGATTGATTCCAAGTCACAAAGCATTCATGGATCCTGCTTCATCAATAAAAGGAAGGATGGGTTTGAACAAACCTGGACAATCATCACGGGGAGTCTGGCGCAGATGAAAGTAGCTGTCAAAGCTTCCAGCCCACGCGTCCCTTTTGGTCAAGAAGCTTGATTCCAGATTAAAAAGCCGCTTAACTGTTGCTGGTATTGAAGAATGTTCAAATTGTGAAGATGACTGTGGACCATTAGGTTCATGGATCACTGCAGAAAACATATGATATATCAATTCAAATGCAAGCCAAAACCGAATGGACACAAGCGAAGTATAAACAAGACTCTACTCATCATACTCTTACAACGACAGGATTACTGTCACTAACATGCCAATTAACTTCCAAACAAATAGAGACACTAATTGATATATATGGACAAAAGAAGAGGTTGTTGACTTGATAACCACAAGGTTACGAGTTCGACTTCCAGTAAGAGTGGCCTATTAGCCTTCTTGATTTGAGCCGATTAGCTATGGGCAACCTAAGTTAATTTACCTCCTTGTGGTTCTTTGCTAGCTGGGGTCACAAACTCACAATGCGAGATTTACCCTATACATATGATGGGTCAAGAGCTCATCTGTGAGGCTCCAATGGATTTTCTATCTGATTATGGATCAAGATATCAAATGCTTTATCTGTTTCTCCCACATGGTAGGGTCTGCAACAACTCAACAAGACCAAAGGACAGAGCCTACATATAGTTGGTACCAAGAAACCTTGAGAGACCCTTTTATCCCTGTTGAGCCAATAAAATTGAAAGAGAACAGTGCCCAAGAAAAACCTGCAAATATTAAGTGATCATGCAGTGCAGTAGAAGGCTCTTAAGCATTTTGCACATGAACACTGGCTAATATGAACTTCCCATTCTCTACTGGAATCTAAAGCCAAATATCCATCATTCAATCTAATGGAGAAAAGATTTGCTCTTCTATAGCATCCACCACATAGAAATACTCTCACTAATCACTATCCCTTTCTATTTCATATTAATAAATAAGTACTCCAATGCAACTCTAGCCAAGTTAGTTAGGTTGTTGACTAGGTAACTACAAGGTTACAAGTTTGATTCCAGCGGGAGCGATCTATTGGCCTAGCTTCTTGGTTTAAGCTTGTTAACTATAGACAATTTAGGCTAATTTACCTCCTTGTGGTGGTTGGGTTAGGCGGCAAGTTTTGCTCATCACTCAAAATAAGTCTCCTAAGTCCTAACAATCTAACACCTCTTTCTTGTCACTCAAAATAAGTCTCCTAAGTCCTAACAATCTAACACCTCTTTCAAATGCCCCAGCATACATTTTCTCCAACCATGCCCTGAGAGGTCCAGTATCCATTCCCTTCTCTACATGAATGGCCTTATACAGTCATGCCAAAACTTCAATATTCTTCTAAACTACAAGATAACAGCTTTTTTAACCCATGATTCCAATATATCAAGTCTGCAACAAACACCTCACTCATAGCATTTGATTTGAATATAATGACTTTCTGTGCTCCACCAATGATGAATCAAAACAAGATCCTATGTAAACTAAATCCTTAGGACAATAACAGTTGAACTATACTGTAATCACATTCAATAACTCATAACAATATAGACCGGGCAAACCCAACCAAGTTGGTCAGACTATTGATTTAGTATAAAGTTACAAGTTCGACTCATAACGAGAGCAACCTATTGGCCTTCTTGATTTGAACCAGTCAGCTATGAGCAACCTAGGTTGGTTTGCCTCATTGTGGTCATTTTACCGGCTATGGTCACAAAGTAGTGGCTGCAGGTTTCCCTTGTCATAAGACAAAACCAACCAAATTAGTGAAACAGTTGACTTGGTAACCACAAAATTAGAAGTTTGACTCACAATAACAGCAGCCTATTGACCTTTTTAGTTTGAGCCAGTCATATCATATGAGCAACTTAGACTGGTTCAAACGACCATATTTGCCCCGTGTACACCCTCACAGGTAGTGGTTGCGGGTTTTCCTGGTACTCAAAGAAAAAAATATATAGACATCTATAACAAAATTTAGGTCTTGGAAGTGCAAAGAAATACTCACCAGTGGCCTTGTCAATCCATGGAGAAATCAAGAGTGTTGGCACGCGCACGCCCAACCTATCAAACTGGAAGTAGTACGGCGCCGGTCCGATGATCCCATCGGGATTAGGCACGCCGGAAACTGGCGTCGGCACGTGATCATAGAACCCGCCGTGCTCGTCGTAAGTGATCAACAATGCCATTTCTTTCCACTGTGGACTGGCTCTCAGAATTTCATACACCTCCTTCACAAACTTCTGTCCAATCGCCACATCGTGCGAGGGATGATCGTCGTTTGCAGGGAAGATATTAACATCGAAGTATCGCTGTTCTATGACTACATAGTTCGGAAGCTTCCCCTTTTTCGCATGGCGCTTGAACTTGAGATCGTAGCTATGGAACTTGACGATATGCTTGAGTTGTCTGAGGGATTTGAAGAAGAGAGTGGCGGGGATATTTTGGTAATATATGCCGAAATCGAGGTCGTTTTCGTCCAAAGAGTCGAAGATGGTCTTCTGGGGGAATCCATGGATGAGATCTTTCCTCACATTGCTGGAGGCTCCGTGAGAAGTAGCGGAGTGGACGTAGAAGCGGTTGGGCTGAGTCGACGCCGGCACCGACGCGAACCACCGGTCGAAGACGGCGAACTCGTTCGCTAACTCGGTGTAAACCGGCACCAGCTCCGGTTTGAATCCTTTCATAACCGTCTCCTCCATACCCTCCACGTCCATACTCAATGCCTGCTGCACGAACCCGTTCATCGGCGCCGGGTTCGCCGACGTATCATCCGACCCGAAAATCTGCTCCCGCATTGCTTGAATCGAGTGCCCCGGGTCGGAGTCAATGAAGACGGCATCGTCGGAAACGAAGACCTTCGACGACGAGGGGTCGGAGGCGTTGACGTGGTTGAATTCAGAACCCGTCAACCCGTCAATATCGGGTCGGGACGCCCGGAGCCAACCGAGAACGTGATCGAAAGACCGATTCTCCATCACCAAAATAACAATTGTTTTAATGGGTCCATCGATTTCATGCTTCTTCTTCTTCCTTAAAGAGGATAAAGCAAAAGAAGGAGACAGTAGAAGGTAGAGAAACAGGAAAACTGTGAAATAGATCTTTCGTGGAAGCATTTTCCCAGCATCAATGAGAAAAATTCCGGCCACGGCGGCAGAAATTCAGAACGAGAATTAAAAGAAGAGCCCAGTGATTCTGAAACTTGGATTGACGTAAAAGTTAAAGGAGCAAAAGCATATGCTTTACTATTCTAGTGGAGGTTTAACTTTATGCGGTACAATTGAAGTTTAACTTAACGTTTGTCTGGGGTAGGCTATGAACAAGCAAATCAAAATCCTATGGTGATAAACTAAGCAAATCGTGTTAGATGTAATCATCAAAGACCTCATTGGTTGGATGCAAGCAAGCCGGCGAAGTGTTTGACATAATGCTTCAGGTCACTTTCATGGCTTCCAATCTCTCTCTCTTTGGGGTATCCTGTTACAGTGGAAAACACAAATTAAGCCACACAGAATAATGATATCATTGACTTTTTTGATAGGGCAAAATTGCCGTAAAAAGTCCAAGATTTGGTAGGAATTTCAAATACTTTGCCCTATTTGATTACATAATTATCTTATCAGTCAATTTTAGTTTATTTAATTATTATTAAATATTTAACTAGCATTTTATAATAATTTATTACTCTAAAATGTTAAAATTCAAAAAATTGGTCAAAACAATTTGTTCAATCATTTT